GTTGTTGCATGTATGTTAGGGATAATTAGATGGAAATAATTATCCCATGTCGGGTAGTGGACCCCTGTATATGCTAGTTAATTATTAACGTATATGTGGAGTAAAATAATCTACAATGAGTGCCATGTAATGTAACACCAGTAATGTTGTGAGTAAGAGAAAATAAGAATGTAGGAACTGAGTTTGCACTAAGCCCAGGAGGTGAGCCTAGAAGTTAAATGATTAATACAATATCTTTCCCCATTGATTGCACATTAATAAACTTGTTTTAGAAATTACTTTAGGTGTATTCCTTTCTCCACACTATTTTACCTTTATTTCCATCAAGTGGCTTGATACCAGAATTACCATACCCATCGCCTAGACCCTCGACCATGCTACCAAAAGAATAGGTGGCAGACTGAGTAAGAGTAAGACTAAGAGAAGTAAAGTAAGATGAGGGTGTGTAGTTCTGAGAGGAACCAGCTCTCACATGGTGGCAGCTTGTTTGTTGTTAACCCCACAGTGCTTACATGCGCCAGTCTCACTTTTCATTAATGGTTAGCTACTTATATTGTTCCATTTATTTACATAAAATATCATTACAGGTACTTCAAACAACCATATTAATTTTTTACATTAATTTTACTACAGCTAAAATCAGGGTCTTATTTTCTTCAGTTTTATATATAGAACCAATCAGTCACTGGTTTAAGTAGCTTTAACATAAACAATAAATCTATATTCCACTTATTATTAATAAATTGTATTATTAATTTTGCACATAAACATTAATTCAATAAAAACAAATTCAGAAACATTAATTAAAAATATATATGAACAGTAAATAAGTATTGCTTTCATATTCTTATGTAAAGTAATGGCGATATGTTTTACATTTAGCACTTACATACATTCTCTCTTTTTTTTTACCATTATAGTTAGCTACTTCTATTGTTCCATTTATTAACATTAAATAACATTACTTAAAACAACCATATTAATTTTACTACAGCTACAACCAAGGTCTTATTTTCTTCAGTTTTATATGTAGAACCAGTCAGTCACTGGCTTTGTAATCCAACGAAAACATTGCTGTGTCATTTCCTCGTGTGTTTAATATTCTCGAATTATTAATGAATTGTATTTCTCATTTTGCACACATAAACATTAATTCAATAAAAGACATTCAGTAATAAACAATAATGAATCTTTTGTACATAAGAGAAATGACATTGTTTACTACGATTATGCGTCGTCTGCTACGTTGGTGGGGCGTTCAAACCGTCGAAATTCAAGTTTCCGCCCGTCAAAATTTTTTACTGTATTTATTTTTTGTGTTCCAATAAAATCGTTAAATTAAAACTTCGCTAAATTTGAGAAGCTACTATCGACATTTAACCCTTAAATATGTCTTCAAAGAGACCATGATGCAGAGAAAGTGGTGCTAGTGCTTCCAAGCATAGCACAAGTCACTATCTATCCAGGAAAAGGGTGAATTTCCATGGTCCGGCAATTTCCATGGTCCGGCACCGGTCAGGTCCCGAGGTTGCCGGACTAGAGAGGTACAACCTGTATCTAAAGAGTCGCATAGCTATATGAAACAACGTTGTTGGGAGCAACGTTAAACGAGGACTTTCTGTACTCTAATATGGCTTACAAATAAAGAAAATATACTATAAAACTATGAAAAATTAAGAGCATGGTTGTGTATGTGTAGGCCGTGGTCTCTCCCGATGTGACATCATGGCACACACACACACACAACTCAGAGCGGCAGCCACACGTCTGTGAGTCAGCTGGGCTGAAGTGGGTCAGTACTTGCCCAGATGATGGTTTGAGTGTAGAAGGAGCTATTATTTTGTACATAAAATATGTGCTATTATATTTTATGATATGCTATGTATCAATTTGATTGTTTATCATAGCAATAAATATGGCTGCACATTGTTTATCATAGCAATAAATATGCACATTGTTTATCATAGCAATAAATATGGCAGCTCATCCTGATTGCGTCAGGTATTCAAACTTACAATACTGTACTAGCTGATTTTGGAGGAATGTTTATTTTTATTACTATTTCATTTTGGTGCCAATTAGTTGAGTCTACTGGTTGCCTGGATACCGGATAACTGGGATTCTATTGTATACCCTGTTTCAGGCAGGGTGTGGGTGCTTTATTGGGAAAAAGTAAGGGATGGAACTGGTTTTGGCCAGTACCAGTAGACCCTTAACCCCTACTTTCCGGGCGTCCATCTAGTGCGCCCCTGTTGACGTTCCGGAACGCGCCCCTTTTCTCGGCATTGTTTATATGCCTAGCGCGAGTTATTAGATTCCAGCATGACTGTTTGCATGTCACGCCACACCTCGGCCACAGGAAAGCTTCCTGAACATAATTATATACTTTTGTTTGTTTCATTTTCATTATTTGTCCATTTTATCATGTTGTATCAAAGTAATATTGCTAAAGGTAGTGTAGTTGTATTGTAGTGTAGTATTACTATAAAATAATGCTATGATTATGTTATAAATGTATTTATTTGCGGGATTATTATTCCGATAATTATTTAAATGCAGTACTTGCTCTACCAAAGACAAAGACAGCCAGACAGACTGTGTGTTATTGTTAAGCACTTTTTATGAAAAATAATGTAAATAAAATTTTCTAAATTAATTATTTATAGGAAATAAGTATTATGATCAGTAAATATATGCACAATACTGCATCCCAGACACAAAGGCAAGCAGAAAATGGCGTAAGTGTGGAGTGACCATGGTAGTCAAAACAATCACATTCTATTGGGAAGTTCTATAGGGTCAATATATAGTTTTTCTTACTTCTTTTTTTATTGTTTCATCATTTAAAACAGTTAAAAATTATATTTTGGAAAAGTTGATTTTTCTCAATTTCAGTGGGGGATACTGTCACATGCACCCTGGCCTGGGGTGTAGGGGTTAAACATGTAAACTCTGCTTATCGGTATCACAAATTTTACTTTTGCGGTACTTTTCCCTGTGCGAGATAGACACAAAAGTTGTGAGCCTACTGTATTTAGATATGAAATACCGTATATACTCGTCTATAAACTCCCCCTCGTTTATAGGTCGACCCTGATTTTTTGACCAAGAAATCGTTAATTTACGATATTCCTCGTTTATAGTTCGACCCACATTTTTGAGGGTAATGGAACAACAAAACCTTCACTAAAAACACTCTACGTCCTATAAACTGAGGTTCGCCGTGCCTGAAACACGAGTGCCGAAGGCAAATTGTTTACTATTTATTATTACGTACGACACTTTACACTGAAACGCGGGTAGTTTCAACAAAAATATTGTATATTTCCATTCAAGTATTTATTCAAGTCAATTAGGAGGGAATATTATTGTAATACAACAGTTTTTTAACTAAACCATTCGAAAAGCGATTACGGTAACATCTTTTGAACGAAAGAAAGCGAAAGTCATTGTTTTTTCACGATTTTATTCCACTTTCCACTGTAATACGTACGTAATTTCAGCAAAAATATTTCATTTCCGTGAATGTATTATATCAAGCACAGTATGAATAGAATATCATTGTAATATAACAGAATTTTAACCGAAAACTATTAAAAAAACCAGTAACATCTCAAGAACAGAAGCTTAGGTAAAGTCGTTTGTTTTCGTCATGTATTTTATCCTATTTTACATTGAAATACATCACGTTTCAGCAAAACTACTATTTATTTCCGAGAATATATTCATTCAGGCGCAGTTTGGTAAAATATACATGTGATGTAATAGTTTTTTTAACTGAAAATGATTCGAAAAACACGTACCCTCTAGCCCTGTTCAAGGAGAGGACTGGGAGAAGCTGTTTATTGCTGCAGACGATGACAAGGAAAATGATTTTGATGGATTTTAATGAAAATATTCAGAAATATGGTATCGTAGTATTTATTCAAGTCAATTAGGATAGAATATTATCGTAATACAACAGTTATTAAACTGAAAACCATTCGAAAAGCGATTACGGTAACATCTTTTGAACGAAAGAAAGCGAAAGTCATTGTTTTCATCACGATTTTATCCCACTTTCCACTGTAATACGTACGTCATTTCAGCAAAAATATTACATTTCTGTGAATTCATTATACCAAGCACAGTATGAATAGAATACCATTGTAATATAACAATATTTTAACCAAAAACTATTAAAAAAATGAGTAACTTCTCTTGAACATCGGAAGGTTAGGTAAAATCTTTTGTTTTTGTCATGTATTTTATCCTATTTTACATTAAAATACATCACGTTTCAGCAAAACTACTATTTATTTCCGAGAATATATTCATTCAGGCACAGTTAAGGTAAAATATACATGTGATGTAACAGTTTTTTAACTGAAAACGATTCGAAAAACACGTGTACCGTCTAGCTGATACTCAACAGCTGGTGGTGCGTCATGCGTCGTTGTAAACAATAGGAGGTTGAAGTAGATTACCGGGTATTATATTAAGTATGAAATATCGAAAAGGTTTTTATTACCGGTATTTTTTGTAGATCAATGAGTACTGTGATACCGTATATGATATGATAAGTTAGCCTGTGCTAAGAACTTCAACATAGACTACTGAAAGCATGTTGTAAGGTAATTTAGCCTATTGTAAGTTGGTGAGCTTCATTTGCTGAAGGAACTGCACAACTTTTCATTACTAATTGGTACATATTTTACGTTTCCATTGTTTACTGGCAGTAAATGGTAAATATTTTTCATGTCTGAAGCTAAAAGTTGCTCCTCGCCCTTCCCATCATGCACGGGTTCAACCTAACAAAACTATTACGCATATATAGGACGACCCCCAATTTTTTGCCTAAAAATTTGGTCTTAAAAACTCGAACTATACGGTATATATGGTATACCCAAGATATAATTCATCAACAACATACAGTACAGTACAGTACTGTATGTAAAACACCATACAGCAAGATAATGTATAGCTGGGTATCATATAACCTTATTTCTTGTCCCCAACAGGTTGGAATCTTTGGCTGGAATTGCAGGTACCTGCACACTCTACAGCAGTGTATGTGTCATTGGACTGATACTCGTGTATTTACTTGTTCCGGAGACCAAGGGGCGGACCCTTGGGGAAATAGAGGCCTACTTTACATATACTCGACGCTCGTGGAGAGTTGTGAAAAACAAACGTGATGTGGCTCTGTCTAGCATCTTGGAACAAGAAGGAGGAACATCAGATTCTTACAGTACATTCCCATCTGCAGAATAAAGTGTTTATCTCAAGCCCATTTCCATTTTGTAAGCACATTTACTTAAATCTTTTTATGACCATGGGAGTTGCATTCTTGTACAGTACAATGTTGTGTATATGGAATCTGCTCCAATAGAGAGTAACAACATGTGAGAAAGAAGGGAGGTTTCTATGTTTATAAGTTCTGCCATCCATCAACTATATTTAACTACAGTATAAATATTCCAATAACTATAGTTATACAGTACAGGTTGACAATCCCTTATCCAAAATCCTTGGGGCCAGAGGGATTTCGGAATTTTTCGGTTTTCAGAATGGTTATATTTTTTTTTTTTTTTTTTTTTTTTTTTTTTTTATTAGCCCACCTGAGCACAAGTCACTGACCCACATTGGGGCCTGGGAGGGGGGGTGGGGGAATATAAGAGTAGTAGTAGTAATAATAATAATAATTCATAGGTCTAGGTCGTGTTTCTCACTTTTTATCTTTTTTCATTCTTGTATTTCTTTATTATTATTATTTTATTAATACAGTATTATTGTTATTATTATTTTATTAACTTTATTATTATACAGGTATTTTATTATTCTTATTATTGTTATCATTATTATTTTATTTTGGTGTATTTTTTATTAAAAATTTGATTTACTGTGAATAATTATTATTATTATAATAAGTATTACTACTACATATTTGCCCTCCAAGCCCCGATGTGGGTCAGTGATCTATGCCCGGGTGGGCTAATCCCTGTTTAAAAAAAAAAAAAAAAAAATTGCTTCACAAAAAACTTTCGGTTTTTTAGAGCTTTTCGATTTTCGGAATTTCGGATAAAGGGTTGTCAACCTGTAGTAAGATTTTGAGCTGGGTTATGATTAAGAGTTTTAAACTGTTGTAATAACTTGCCAGTGGATGTTGTAACAGTAAGTGTTGTGAACTGTTGTAATAACTTGCCAATGAATGTTGTGATAGTAAGTGATGGGAACTTTTGGCATAACTTGCCAGAGAATGTTATGGCATGAAGTGTTGTAAACTGTTGTAATAACCTGCCAGTGAATGTTATGATGCAGTAAAAAAAACATTTATCGAAATCACTCTTAATTTTTAATATTTTGCTGTTACAAAATATGTTACAATTAATTTTTTTAATATTTAATAAAATTTAGAAATGATATATATATATATATATATATATATATATATATATATATATATATATATATATATATATATATATATATATATATATATATATATATATATATATATATATATATATATATATATATACAGACGACCCTCGTTAATTCGGACACCTTTAATCCGGATTTCGGATAAATCGGACGAAATCTGAACTGTCCATATCAAATTTCTGGTTCTGGGATTGTCCCAGTTGCAATTGGGGTTGCAATTTCAAATTCTGTGTCACTACTAAGAAATAACAAAGTCCCTGGTGCACTCTAAGATTAAGAGAAAACGGACGACTCAGGCGTCCTGAAGCGAGAGAAAAACGGACTCCTATGACGGGGCACTCAAATAAAGAGACATGGCTACATGTTTTGTGGACTAGCCACTGTACAGTATCCTTTTCATCACTTTGTAATAAACCTCGTTATGCCTATGTGTTTCTGATAATTATCATAACATTATATATTTATATATTTAGCGGTTGTACAAACACAAGGCCTCACACATGCCATTCAGACTGACAGACTTGACAAGTTTTACCAACCATAAAGACAGTTGAAGCTTTAAGCATCACTCACAATGGATCTTGAATATTTCAACTGTAATCAGACATACGTAAGTTGCTTCAACAATTGCAACCCCAGTTGCAATATCAAATTCTGTGTCACTACTAAGATATAACAGTCTCTAGTGCACTCTAAGATTAAGAGAAAACGGACGACTCAGGAGTGCTGAAGTGAGAGAAAACGGACACTTATGATGGGGAGTTCAAATAAACATACACATAGCTGTATAATGCAATATTAACCCCTAAATCGGTTAATTAGGACAATCGGCTAAAACGGACACCCTTCCCCCCCTATTAGTCCGTTTTAACGAGGGTCGACTGTATATATATATATATATATATATATATATATATATATATATATATATATATATATATATATATATATATATATATATATATATATATATATATATATATATATATATATATATTTATTTTAATAAAAAATCCACAATGAAATACAGTACAGTAAAAGTGATGAATAATGATGAATGGATACAGTACAGTGAAAGTAATAAATAATAAGGAATGGATACAGTGTGACTGAGCACTTAACCTTTAATGTAGTCAGCTGAATGCACATGGGGCCCCCATAATTTTCTAATTATACATGGAGACTACATTAACTGGAAACGTTTCGGTATAGAAAATGCGTGGGTCATTTGAAGAAAAGAAAAGAAAAGAAAAAATGGTCACAACTGCAGCGGTCGTAAGTCCCGACGGTCGTATGTCCACGTAGTCGTAAGTCGGGGTCTAGGTGTGTATATATATATATATATATATATATATATATATATATATATATATATATATATATATATATATATATATATATATATATATATATATATATATATATATATATATATATATATATATATGAAATCAACGACCTCACCAGCCAGGATTCGAACCCTCGACCCACTGGGTGGGACTAGGGAACGCTACCGACCAACCCACAAGGACACTAAAAGCAGTCCTAGGTTCTGTTATATTTCAAACAAAGTTTGTTCATTGAGCTGATGGCGCCGTGAACCTCATTGGGAACTGCTCGTGCCGCGTATGTGGTGTCAGTAGCATTTTACCAAATCCAGCTGTTATGAAACACGAGGTACCATATATATACTTCAGTATATATATATATATATATATATACAGTGGGGTATGCTATAACGAATCTAATTGGTTCTAGAACCTTGTTCGTTATAGCATTCGTTCGTTATAGGATTAATCCGTTCCAGGCCCCCAAATACAACCACTTAACACTGAAAAATATAATATAAAATTGTAAAAATTGTAAAAAAGTGCATAAATATGCATCTAAACCCCTGAAATAAAGAATATCATTAATATTTGTAATAAAAAAACAATAAATTAGTAAAAAAAATAAAAATAAAAAAATTTTTAAATAATGTTCGTTGTAGGAGTTTCGTTCGTTATAGCATTCTCAATTTTATAGGTAAAACCGTTTGTTATAGGAATATTCGTAGTAGGATCCGTTCATTATAGCATACCCCACTGTGTGTATATATATATATATATATATATATATATATATATATATATATATATATATATATATATATATACATACACAGTATTACCCCGCCTAACGCGGTTTCACTTAACGCGTTTTATCATATACGCGGTGCCTCGCCAGAGCTGAACTTTCACTTAACACGGATTTTTTCCTCATATACGCGGTGAGTGTCGAGTGTCCGGCTCGAGATGCTATTTTTAGATTTGCCCCACCCTGCCTGACTGCCTGTTTTAGCTCATAAAATTCATACAAATTACCCGGCCAGAATATAATTTACATTGCTGGAATTCTTATAATTTGGTGATCATTTTGAATATAAACATCATATTTTTGCATTAGACATACAAATTTTAGATAAAAATTTTTCTCAAATTAACTATGTTATCTTTTGTGCAAAATATATGACATTTATATTCAAAATATTCCTGGTCTTACAAGGAATCCAGCAATGTCAATTATATTATCCTAACTTTAATCTGAGGTATTATTTAATACTAAATGTTAAAACTCTGGAAGGGAGGATTGGTGGGGGGTTGGGGGGAGGGTTGGGACTGACCGCGCGGTTGGAAGAGGGGGGGAGGCAAGGTGGGGTACTTTGATTGACAGATAGTGTTGTGAAGATTATTTTTTTTTTTATTAACTGAAGATATTTGTTTTAGCTCATAAAATTCATACAAATTACCCGGTCAGAATATAATTTACATTGCTGGAATTCTTATAATTTGGTGATCATTTTGAATATAAACATCATATATTTTTCATTAAACATACAAATTTTAGATAAAAAATTTTCTCTAGGTAACTATGTTATCTTTTGTGCAAAATATATGACATTTATATTCAAAATATTCCTGGTCTTACAAGGAATCCAGCAATGTCAATTGTATTATCCTAACTTTAGTTTGAGGTATTATTTATTAAAATTTAGTGGTTTTCCCCCAAAAATTTCTCTGAGAGGGAAGAGCCAGGGAGTGTAGTGTGAGACGGGGAGGGAGTTGAGTCCATTATTTGAATGGACATTAACTTGGCGACTGTATTTCTCTTAAGTATTAATTGTGTGCATGTACCATCATAAAATTAAGATGTTATTTTTACTACAACATAGGTATGTGCCTTCAAAAAGTGGAGTTTGGGGGTCGGGCCGGTTTCTATTGGAATTAATCCCATATGTTCTGTTGTTCACTTAACGCGGATTTCACTTAACGCGGGACCCTCTGGGTTCAATTGACCGCGTTAAGTGGGGTACAACTGTATATATATATATAATATATATATATATATATATATATATATATATATATATATATATATATATATATATATATATATACACACACAGTTGTACCCCGCTTTACGCGGTTTCACTTCACGCGATTTCTCATATACGCGGTGCCTCGCCAGAACCGAACTTTCACTTAATGCGGTTCATCTACCCATATACGCGCAGCGTGTCCGGCTCGAGACGCTATTTTTAGATTCGCCCCACCCGCCACTTCCTCCCGCCTGCCGCCTGCCTCGCCTCTCCCTCCTCCTCCCTCCCTCCCCTCCGCCTCCATCCCCGTATGCCGACCCATCTCTTCTACTAACGTAAGTGTTACACCTAGCTTTTAGTTTTCCTAACCTAACCTTTATTTTTCCTAACTTAACCTTTATTTTTCCAAACCTAACCTCTTCTATATTACTTGTTTGTTCATACCATCATAAAGTTAAGATAAAATTTTTACTACAACATAGTTGTGTGTCGTCAAAATTGGAGTTTGGGGGTTGGGCCAGTCTCTATTGGAATTAATCCCATAAGTTCTGTTGTTCACTTAACGCGCTTTTCACCTAATGCGGTACCCTGTGGGTTCAATTGACCGCGTAAAGTGGGGTACAACTGTATATATATATATATATATATATATATATATATATATATATATATATATATATATATATATATATATATATATATATATATATATATATACAGTATTACTCGCTTAACGCGTTTCGCTTTTTAGCGTTTTTACCTTATAATGCTGTGTCGCCAGAGCTAACTTTTCACTAACGTGAGGTTTTTTTCCACGTGACGAGTGAGTGTCCGGCTCGAGAGCTATTTTTAGATTCCCCCCACCCGCCACCCTGCCTGACTGCCTGTTTTAGCTCATAAAATTCATACAAATTACCGGCCAGAATATAATTTACATTGCTGGAATTCTTACAATATGATGATCATTTTGAATATAAACATCATAGATTTTGCATTAGACATACAAATTTTAGATATAATGTTTACTCTGAGTAGGCTAAATATGTTATTTTTTGTGCAAAATATATGACATTTGTATTCAAAATATTCCTGGGCTTACAAGGAATCCAGCAATGTCATTTATATTATCCTAACTTTAGTTTGAGGTATTATTTATTACTAAAAAGGTAAATATTCTGGTTTTCCCACACATCTGGTAGGGACGGTTGGTGGGGGGAGGGAGGGACCGACCGACCGACCATCTGTTACAGTGTGAAGAATATTTTTTTTTTTATTAACTGAAGATATTTGTTTTAGCTCATAAAATTCATACAAATTACCCGGTCAGAATATAATTTACATTGCTGAAATTCTTACAATTTGGTGATCATTTTGAATATAAACATCATAGATTTTGCATTAGACATACAAATTTTAGATATAATGTTTACTCTGAGTAAATATGTTATCTTTTGTGCAAAATATATGACATTTATATTAAAAATATTCCTGGTCTTGCAAGGAATCCAGCAATGTCAATTGTATTATCCTAACTTTAGTTTGAGGTATTATTTATTAAAATTTAGTGGTTTTCCCCCAAAAATTTCTCAGAGAGGGAAGAGCCAGCAGTGTAGTGTGAGAAGAGGGGGAGGGAGTTGAGTCCATTATTTGAATGGACATTAACTTGGTGACTGTATTTCTCTATTTCTCTTAAGTATTAATTGTGTGCATGTACCATCATAAAATTAAGATGTTATTTTTACTAGAACGTAGGTATTGTGTCGGAAAAAGTGGAGTTTGGGGATCGGGCCAGTTTCTATTGGAATTAATCCCATATGTTCTGTTGTTCACTTAGCGCGGTTTTCACTTAACACGGTACCCTGTGGGTTTTATTGACCGCTAATTAATAAGGGGATGCAAATGTTTGACGGAATGGATCAAAATTATGAGTGTTTTGCCAAAGTTGACAGAATGGTCGAAGATGCACTTGCTCGCTACAGGGAAATTTATAACGAAAAGAAAAAGCAAACTGGTCTAAATTGGACATCTATTTTAAGAAGTCCCCTAGTGCTGTCTCCTCACGCCCCACCAGTGCTGCCTCTTCACTCCCTCAAGATGATCCAATACCTTCAACCAGCAAGTTTCCACAGTCCATAAACCTGTCTGAAGAAAGTGACATTGATGACCCACCCAGCGGGAGGGCACGTCATATTACATTAAACCAATCACACCAAGTGGGGGGGGGGAGGTAAGGATGCTTGGCCCAATCGCAGTCCAATACGTCATATGACGTCACTGATAACGCAACAAAGACATACGCTGCGCAACCTACTCGCGCCTCTTACCCAGCATGGCGGGAGGTTTGAATCCAAAAATGGCACGGCGCGAGATGACCGCCAGCCGCTCTCCGCTTAAAAAAGTACACGCACCGCGGAAAGTGAGCATCCCGGGTCTGGCAGGGTACCGCGTAAATGTGGAAACGCTTAAAAAAAAACCTCGTCAAGCGAGGTAATACTGTGTACAGGCATCCCCCGCGTTACGGAAGCCCGGGTTACGGAATTTCGCTCCTACGGAATTTGTAAATTACGACCATTAATTTCGCGTTACGGCCCGTAAATCCGCCCTTACGGAAATTGGGGTAAATTTTAACAATTAAAAAATAAATCACTATATAAAATTCAATTTTTTCGTTAAAAATGATAATTTGTTAGGTGTGGATTTCTTGGTGTTTGCTACCGCCGAGCGTAGCGTCGCCACGAGGAGTCAGTCCATTGTTTACATCCAGTGTGGGCGCATTTTTCAAGCCCCAGCAGTTTGATTTAACTTTTACAAACATACAGTAAGTACAGTACAGTGCATTACCATTATTCAAGATGACTGGAAAGAGGCCATCAAGTGGAAGTGACCGCAGTAATGCAAAAAGAAGCCGCAAAGGCATTACATTGGATATTAAACTTGATGTGTTACGAAGGTTTGATGCTGGAGAAAAACTTTGCCAGATTGCAAAAACATTAGGTCTTGCTACTTCAACAGTGGGAACAATCCCTGATAATAAGGACAAAATTAGGTCAAGTGCTCAAGCAGCTACTCCATTAACTGCTCGAACCTTGTATTTTCATCGAAGTGATGTGATGCTGAATATGGAACGACTCCTGAGTGCCTGGATTGAAGATCAGACTAAATGCAATGTGCCACTAAACACTATGGTTATTCAACAGAAAGCCATAAGTTTATATAATGATTTGCAAGAAGAGGAAGGTGCATCTTCTGAGGTTAAGCCTTTTCTGGCTAGTAAAGGCTGGTTTGAAAGGTTTAAGAAGCGCCTTAATTTACACAACATAAAATTGAGCGGTGAAGCTGCCAGTGCTGATACAGAATCAGCTAATAAATATCCTGCTGAACTGAAGAAAATTATTGATGAAGGAGGTTACACACCAGAACAAGTGTACAATGTAGATGAAAATGGGCTTTTCTGGAAGCGCATGCCTGCTAGAACTTTTATTTCCACTGAAAAAACATGAGCACCAGGCTTTAAAGCATCCAAAGATTGTTTAACACTTCTTCTGGGAGGAAATGCTTCAGGTGACATGAAATTAAAGCCCCTACTTGTGTATCACTCAGAAAATCCAAGGGTTCTCAAGGGCTATGCCAAGTCTAATCTACCTGTGATTTGGCATTCCAATAAGAAGGCTTGGATGACAATGACCCTTTTCCAAGACTGATTCACTAACTATTTTTGCCCTGCTGTAGAAAAATATAATGACAAGCGTAACATATGTAATAAAGCATTGCTCTTTGACAATGCATCAAGCCACCCAGTAAATTTAAATGATCGTTCTGATAATGTGAGAGTGGAGTACATCCCCAAGAACACAACTTCCTTGCTCCAGCCAATGGATCAAGGTGTGATAGCTAACTTTAAGGCATATTATCTTTGGAAAACTTTTTTGCAGCTCATAAAAGCAATTGATGGGAAGGATAAACCTACAATTAGGGACTTCTGGAAAAAGTTCAACATCTTGGATGCTGTGGATAATATAGTCGAGTCATGGGATGAAGTGAAAACCTCAGCTATGAATGGTTCATGGAAAAACATATGGCCAGAGTGTGTCCATGAATTTCAAAGTTTTTCACAAGCTGAAAGTCTACAGAAAGTTCAACAAGACATTGTGACACTTGCAAATAATATAGGCTTTGAAGAAGTCGTGGAAAATGATGTGGTTGAGTTGCTAGAGTCCCATAGAGAAGATTTGACAAATGAAGATCTGATGATGCTGGAACAAGAGCGAGCTGCAGGACAAGGAAAGGATATAGAATCTCCACCCACCGCACTTCAGTTGACTACAAAGGATATGTCTAAAGCAGTTGCACTAATAGAGGAAGGTCTGCAAATCTTAGCTGATAACGACCCTGTAGTGGATACCTCCCCTACAGACGCTGTTTGTCGCTGAGTAGCCGACCCCGCGAATTCCCCAGTGTATGCCTCGTGGTCTAGGTAAACCAGCGCCGCCCACGGAGCGGGGGTCAACTATCTACCCACGCCTACCTCCGCTATGAAAGACCTGAACTCGTGGTGACCTCTCTCTTCTTCTAGCTACAGCCGCAGCAAGCAACACCACCTCCGCCGCTGCCTGGCGGCCCTCGCTCCCGCTGGCGAGCATGGCGACCCACAAGCTTGCCCTCTTCCTCCTCCGCCGCTGCCTCAGACGCCACCTCCTCCGCCGCTGCCTGGCGGCCCTCGCTCCCGCCGGCGAGCATCAAACCATCTCTCGTACCCCACAAATGGTGACCCCGGAGTGACCACTCACACAGGATGGAGGAGAAATATCTCATACCCCTACAAATGGTGACCCCCAGAAATTTGCACTCACACAGGATGGAGGAGAAACCGATCACTCTCTCAGTCTTCAAGCAACATGGAAGACTGGCTTATCCACACAGAGGCAGCTCTCATCGGCTCTACAACTACTGTCTCAACACCGCAGGTTAGACACCCTAGAGCTTCTCTGCTACTCTAAGCAGACAGCCGCTCCTCTTCCTGCCCCAAGCACCACGTCCTACCGACCCCAACACAACCGTCCTTCCTCAGACGCCGCCCCCGGCCCAGCAATACCCCCTGCCGCTCCTCCTGATGCAGCCCCTGCTCCCGACGCGGCCCATGCGCCTGAGTGCGGACCCAAACACCCCTCTTTTCTCCCTCAGGTACCCCCTGCTACCATCCTGCAACCTGCTGCTGTCGTGGGCCCTGCTGCTGTCATGCACCCTGCTGCTGTCATGGACACTCTTCCTAACGCAGCCCCTGCTCCTGACCCAGGCCCACACACCCCAGCAGGTGCATCTGAGGACTCTGTACCTGTCGCGAGTGAAGCACAACATTCATCGCCTCCACAACCCTCCTTCTCCCTCTTTTCTCCCACAGATCCCGAGTATCTAGACAGAGTTGGCCCCCCCTCTAGTGGCCGGCTCATCCACGCCCTCGCCGTTCTGCCTCACATGTGGCACGCAACTCTGCCAGCCTCCCGCCGCGCCCGGAGGGGAAGAGGAGTATTGTAGTGGATTCCTCCCCTACAAGCACGGAACCTTCTCGAATTCCCCAGCCTACACCTCCAGCGCCACCCACGGAGCGGGGGTCAACTATCTACCCACGCCTACCCCCGCCTTATAAGATCTGACCTCGTGGTAACCTACCTCTCTTTTCTACCTACACCAACCAGCAAGCAACACCTCCTCCTCCTCCGCCGCTGCCTCAGACTCCACCTCCTCCACCGCTGCCTGGCGGTCCTTGCTCCTGCCGGTGAGCATCAAACCATCACTCGTACCCCACAAATGGTGACCCCTGGAGATTCGCACTCACATAGGATGGAGGAGAAACCGATCACGCTCCCAGTCTTCAAGCAACATGGAAGACTGGCTTATCCACGCAGAGGCAGCTCTCATCGGCTCTACAGCTACTGTCTCTACACCGCAGGTTAGACACCCTAGAGCAGCATTGCTTCTCTAAGCACACACCAGCTCCTCTTCCTGCCCCAAGCACCACGTCCTAACGACCCCAGCACACCTGTCCTGCCTCAGACGCCGGCCCCGGCCCAGCAGTACCCCCCTGCCGCTCCTCCTGATGCAGCCCCTGCTCCCGATGTGGCCCATGCACCTGAGTGCGGACCCACACACCCCTCTTTTCTCCCTCAGGTCCTGTACCCTGCTGCTGTCGTGGACCCAGCTACTGTCACGAACCCTCATCCACTTCTGCTGACGCAGCCCCTGCTCCTGACCCAGGCCCACACACCCCAGCAGGCGCATCTGACGACTCTGTACCTGCCGTGAGGGAAGCACAACATTCATCGCCTCCACACACCCTTTTTCTCCCTCTCTACTCCCACAGATATTGTGTATCTAGACAGTTGTCTCCTGTAGCGGCCGGCTCATCCACGCCCTCGCCATTATGGCTCAAATGTGGCATGCACCGCCCGTTCTGCCTCTCACATGTACCATGCAACCCTGCAGACAACAAGTCTCCTACACTGCCTGGAGGGAAGGAGGGAGTACTGTAGTGGATACCTCCCCTACAGAGCTGTTTGTCACTGAGTAGCCGACCCCGCGAATTCCCCAGTGTATGCCTCGTGGTCTAGGTAAACCAGCGCCGCCCACGGAGCGGGGGTCAACTATCTACCCACGCCTACCTCCTCTATAAAAGACCTGACCTCGTGGTGACCTCTCTCTTCTTCTAGCTACAGCCGCAGCAAGCAACACCACCTCCTTTGCCGCTGCTTGGCAGCCCTCGCTCCCGCCGGCAAGCATGGCAACCCACAAGCTTGCCCTCCTCCTCCTCCGCCGCTGCCTCAGACGCCACCTCCTCCGCCGCTGCCTGGCGGCCCTCGCTCCCGCCGGCGAGCATCAAACCATCTCTCATACCCCACAACCCCAACCGTGAAAGGAACATCAAGATTGCAAGAGTAGTTAACATTGTTCTCAGTTCCTACACTGAGCTGTACAAGGAGAAGGTGCGCCGTAAACGTGAAACATCTTTGGATGAGTTATTCAGAAAAAAGGTGAAAGCAGATGAAGAAGCAGATTATGATTTACAGGGCAGGGCAGAAGAGAGTAGTGCCCCTCCCTCTCCCTCCCAATCACTTTCTTTGCACCACCAATTCTCACGCAGCAGTCAACATCTTTTGTGCTAAGTACAGTACAATATTTTTATTTATTCCAACTGTATTTCTCTTCATATTACTTGTATATCATGAATTATTTAATGTACTGTATTGTATGTGTTTATAAATGTTTATTTTCATTCATAAAAGTGCTTCAATTACGTTTTTGGGGCCTAAAAAAATTCCGTAGGAACGCATCTCCAGTTTTATAATAGAAGTCAATGGGAAAATAGGTTTCGCGTTACGGAATTTGGCGATACGGTCAATTTTCCGGGAACGGAACCCTTCCGTAACGCGTGGAATGCCTGTGTGTATATATATATATATATATATATATATATATATATATATATATATATATATATATATATATATATATATATATATATATATATATATATATATATATATATATATATATATATATATACATACATATACATATACATACATACATACAACCCTCGCTTTACGCATTTCCACGTTTACGCGGTACCCTGCCGAAACAGGAATGCTCACATTCCGCGGTGCGTGTACCCCTTTACGCGGAGTGCGGCTGGTGAGCCGCGCCATTTTTGGATCCAAACCTCCCGCCATCCACCATGTTGTGTAAGCGGCGCTAGCATGGTGCGCACAAGGTCGCCCAGTCATCAAAACATTACCGAGTTCTTCACCCACCACCCACCACAGCTGGCCCAAGTCAGTGATAGTGATAATTATAGTGAGGATATGGACTTATATGGACTTTGAGGGGTTTGACAAAGAGGCCCTGCAAGCCTCTGTGGTGGATAGTGATACAATTGATACAAGTGATACAGGTGAGGGCCAATAATCTGCCCTCTGCCTCGGAACCAACCGCCCATCCCCGTGAGCCCGGCCATCTTTTCTACTAATGTAAGTGTTAAAAAACCTAATATTATTGACATTTCTCTTAATTATTAATTGTGTGTGCATACTATCATAAAGTTAAGATAAAATTTTTACTACAACATAGTTGTGTGTCGTCAAAAAGTGGAGTTTGGGGGGTCGGCCCGGTCTCTATTTCAATTAATCCCATATGTTATGTTGTTCACTTTACGCGTTTCTCACTTTCCGCGGTACCCTGTGGGTTATATTAACCGCGTAAAGTGAGGGGTTGACTGTATATGTATGTATATATATATATATATATATATATATATATATATATATATATATATATATATATATATATATATATATATATATATATATATATATATATATATATATATATATATATATATATATACACAGGTTGTACCTCTCTAGTCCGGCATTCTGTGGTCCGGAAACTCCCGTGGTCCGGAACGATTTTGGTTTGTCCAATAGGTAGATAGGCAGCTTTTTTTTTTTTTTTTTTTTTTTTTTTTTCTTATCTGAATTATTATTATTATTACAGGAGTATTAAATTTTTGCCCCTCAGGCCCCAATGTGGGTCAGTGACCTATGCCCGGTGGGCTAATCCCCTTAAAAAAAAAGCCGCGGGAAATTAAGGTTTGTTTACATCCGGCAGTTCGGCTGCTCTCTCTCTCTCTCTGCTTGTCTATACAGAGTACAACATTTAACCCTTCAATATATATGAGCAGTAAATAAGTGTTGCTTTCATATTCTTATGTAGAGTAATGACGATATATTTTTACATGTGCGCACTTACATACGAGCAGTCTCACTTTTTTTTTTACCATTAATGGTTAGCCACTTATATTGTTCCATTTATTAACATTAAATAACATTACAGGTACTTCAAGCAACCATATTCATTTTTTACATTAATTTTACTACAGCTAAACTCAGGGTCTTATTTTCTTCAGTTTTATATGTAGAACCAATCAGTCACTGGTTTCGTAAGCTTTAACATAAACAATGCCGGCAGCGGTCTCGTCTCCTCTAATATTCCACGTATTATTAATAAATTGTATTGTTAATTTTGCACACACGTACATTAATTCAATAAAAACAAATTCAGAAACATTAATTAAAATATATATGAACAGTAAATAAGTGTTGCTTTCATATTCTTATGTAAAGTAATGACGATATGTTTTCACGTGTGCGCATGCGCACTTACATATGCGATCTCTCTTTTTCTTTACCATTATCGTTAGCTACTTCTATTGTTCCATTTATTAACATTAAATAACATTACTTAAAACAACCATATTAATTTTACTACAGCTACAACCAAGGTCTTATTTTCTTCAGTTTTATATGTAG